TGCTCTTTTAGAGTCCTTCTGCTGGATCAAGGGCAGCAGGCAGCAGTGCTGCATTGCACTGTGATTTTTAATGGAAATGCAGAGGACTCTTATTGCTCAGAATCATCACTTCTACTGGAAGTTCTTCCTTTAATTCCTCTTCAGTTCTTTAATTCTTTGGAAGTTTTTCCTATACTGGATAAGAGTAGGAATCATTTTGAACCAGTTCACATTGGAAAATACAACATGACAGTTTGGGAGCCGACAAATGCCTCTGCCTTGTGCCCCCTTTAGAGACTGGGCACCAGAGATGCTTTTACCTTACTAAACTGCTTAAATTGAAATATTAAAGGAATATTTGCATTTTTCTAAAGTATTTAGCATCATAGCTTTTTTTGTTTGCTCATGCTCATGGTGTGGTAAGGAGGGATCTTGCATAATCATGGATCCAAACTTGACTGCAGTAGATCCTGTCCATATGAATAAGAAAAATGTAAAACAACATAATACATGAGCAGGAGATATATAAAGAAACACTGAGATAATACCAGTTATTGTAACGATGAAACACCTCCTGTCAGGAACAGCTACCGTCTCCCACCTAGTGGCTTCCCCTCCGCCCCACCAAAAGCAATACATATTTTGTGGTGTAAACAGGTATCATACAGATCAAAAGGTTTCCAGAGATCAAAAAATATTGAGCTCTGAGACCAACACTCTTGATGATCAGCACTTTGGCCAGAGGTGGCAGATTTTGTTGTTAAAAATTAAAAGCTGCATTTTCTCACAAAACCACATTATTGCTAAATCCCAGCATTTACAAAGTTCTATAGAGCATATGTGAGATCAGAAGCTGTGGTAGACCATAGACTTAAGTTGTAATAACTATTCCCTTTGGTTTTGAGACTCAGTAATATTTTAAACTTTTTTTCTTTAGATTTTTAAAGCTGTTATTTTTTCATAATTGCCTTCTAGGAGCTTTTTTTTAAAAGTAATATTAAATAAATTGCATTTTATGATAAAATTACAAAAAAAGTTATGCCAGGAGTGTATTTTAATATAAGGTGTCACATAATAGCTGGTAGGGAATGATAACGTTGTTTTCTGGGAAGTTAACTTACTGCAAACAACTCTTCGCATGGGTTATCTCAGAGTGCACGTAGAGGGATAACTGCTGTGAGGTAATCAGCAACCCCCCAAATTAACATCTTCATTTTACCAGGGTAATTTTTCCTGTGTGCGGCTTTTACTTACGGAGTGAACTATGTCTTAAGAATTAATACCTATTCAATCTACATTTAAAAAATTAAGATAAGTTTGTAATTTTTTTTTTTTAGCGTTTGTTTCTGTATTTGTCAAGCCATGGTCAGTGTCCATGTTTATTCTGCAGCTTTAATAACTGCTGGTTTCATTGCTAGCAAGTCATGAAGGAAGTAAAGAAATGATGCTGTCTGCCAAAACCATTACTTTTCTTAATAAACTTTGTTCTTGTAACTTTTGAAATTTTTTTAATGTTTTTTTCCTTCATAAAGTGCTTTTTTTTTGCCTTTCTCATACTTCTCCGTCCTTGAATATTTTTGTAATTTAAAAATAAAAGGACTAGTAGGCTACCATTTGCCCTCGCTTTCTGGCAGTATTCCTCTATTTCCACTTTTGGTTGGAGATCACAGTAATCCAGCATGTTGTGGAAAACAGTTCTCCCTGGAGGGACATCTGACTCTTTGATACACTCCACAGGCAGTTCTCTTGGCAGCTCTGGAGATGCCACTGAAAGATCTGGCACACTTCTGTTTAGATGAAAGTAAGAAAATCCCTTGTTAGTGATGTATAGAGTAAGATACTGGTTATTGCACCAAATTGTTTTGGTCCTACTCATGTACTTCTGACAGTAAATATTAGCACAGAGAAGTTTGGGGGTTTTTTTGCTGGTTATGAATGTGGGAGAAAGTGAAAAGGGCTGCAAGAAAGGCAGAGAAGGAAAAAAAATGCAAAATTAGTTAAGTAGTTGCGAAATCTATTAAAAGGGGTGAGAAAAACTGAACAGGCTTTGTGAATGAAAATTCAATTCCTACCCATCTAGTAAAATGAAAAGAAGAGACACGTTACAAGTAATTGCTGAGGGCTTACCACTGACTTGGCAAAGAGCACGTGTGTGTGTGAGTAATCACTGGTGAACAGGAGTTACACAGTGTAGGCATTGGAGATTGCTGCTGCTCTTTATTCAGTGTTGCATCATTTGACTGCTTTCACATTTTTGATGGCTTAACTACATTTTAGTTTAACAGACAAGTGGGGTCTTACTTGATTCCAAAGGTCAGGATCTATTTCAATGGGTCATGTCAGCGAGAAGAGTTTCTCGTGTCTATTCGCTCTGCTCTGAAGATACGCATTGACAACCACCAGCCAGTCATTCATCCCCCACAAACATCCTCATCGCAGCTGCCCGTGCTGTAATCTGGACATTCATTATTCAAAGTTGGAAGTGTTGGGGCGAAGAGTTGTTTCTCATTCCTCCCCCAAGAAAGACAAAGGCTGCCTGATGGCAGAGGTGGCAAATCTGTGGCATTCGGGTCAGAATTGGCACGAGCTCCTCTTGTAACTGGTACGTGGGCAAGCTGGCTGCTGTCCCTGCGAGCTGAGCGGATTGCGACAGCAGCAGAGGAAGGGAAGTGATTCAAAAGGCAGGGCAGATGGTACCACTGGCTGTAAGAAGTGACCCCAAGAGGAAGAAAACCTACCATGATGGGAGATGTTGGCATCTGGCATCTGTTCTGCTGTTACCTAAGCTAACACATACCTAAAGTATGTGTACCCTTACAACAGCCTGGCATGATGTGCCATCTTCTGCAGCCAGGGAGTTGAAACCTGTTCCCAGCCCTGATTATAGAGAACCCTGAGGTATCATAATCTGATAGGTTTTATATAGTCAGGCAGAAGTTCCACATATAAAAATCCGTCTCCTGAAAAAAAATTATTTAGGAAATCTTTTAACTTAATGAAATACCTACTTCATTCAGAATTCTCTGTGTACAAAACCCATACCTATAAAAGCATATTTTGAGACTGAGTTATGGGGTAACTAACTGGTGAATTGATTTTTTAAAAAAAAAAAAAAAAGAAAAAAAAACACTAAAAAATGCAAACCCAACACCTTTAACTAGTGCAACTAGTATTGTAATAGTCTCTTAGTCTTGTTCCTTCTAGCATTATTCTGTATAGCACATTTTCACCTCCAGTTCGATATTTTGTTTTCCCATGAAACTTGAGTGCTTTTCTTCTGTGGTGTGTTGAAGACTCCTAAACAGTTTTAATACACAAGTTTCAGGAATTCATTTCAATTGTCCACTGCCTTTATTACTTCGGGAGTGAAACCTTGAACTCACAGAAGTCATTTTGCTGTGGAAGATCACCATTGACTTCTGTGAGGCCAAGATTTCACTTATGTATTCCCACCTTGAAAAGCAAACATCAAAAAAACATTATTTAGCTTAAGAATTCATATGTCCAGACTTTACGGATACTTTATTTTATCTTTACGAGATAATATGTCTCTACATAGCCATTTCCGATACAGCAGTCTCTGTTTTGCGTTTTTGATATTGTCTTTGTGTGTGAACGTTCCGAGTTGCAAAAAACAGAGTATGAAGGAGGCAAGGAAAGGTATTTGCCAGTAACATTTATGGGTTTGAAATACTTGCTAGCTACCCCTGCTCATTGCCTTCCATCCAACTATGGCCAGAGTTACACTACAAATTTTCTCTGAGGAGGGTTTTTAATACTTCAAGTGCTTCAAACAAACCCAATGTTGTACTCATCAGGCTTATCAATTTTTATCCATTTTATTAGATACAATCTATATTGATTAAAAAAAATTACAATTTTGAATCTTTTCAGTATCTTTGAGAAGAAACGACTTGGAACGCTTGACACTTTGATGCAGTTTGTCTTTTCAAATAGATTTGGCTTCTAATGCATGTGACAACAGGACTTTGCTCTTCAGTTAGACCATACATTTCAGAGTAGTTGTTACCTAAAATATTATCATAAGGCATAAGAAAACACACGATTTAAGTTGCCTTTCATGAACATAATTAAGAATTAATAAGCCTGTACCAGTGGCTAGTAATCAGAATTTCCACTGTTTTGCCTTTTGTGACCCGTGTTATTAAAAGTCCATTATTTTTACAGACTTTATTAAATTGGATCTTATTAAAGCATTCTATATTTGCATTTGGTCTTTCATAATTCATTATTATTATGACATTTACTTTTTACCATCAGATCTGAAAACATATCATAAGCTACCCTTTTCTCTTGAAAGAAATGCTAATTTCAAACAGTCCTCTAATGGAAGAGAAAAGCTTTATCAGTTTTTTCATTTATTCAAGATCGTGTTAAGAATACTAATGCTAGACTTCTGTATGCTAATATCTAAGAGCTTTTTTTGGTCAAAAGCTTAGAATTATTGTTTTTTAGACCACAGTGCTAAGTATGTCACTGGCAGGGCACTAGTACAAAAGGAAATACAATTCTGAAGTACCATGTTTTAATTCTATGACTGATAAAAACATTTCTTGATCTTTCATTATTAAATTATACTTTTGTTTGAAATTATACTATTTTTATATTTCGCCCTGTTTACTGGATTATGGCTATACTTAGTTTCTCTTTAGAAGTTTTTAACAATTGATCTAGCATGATTATTTAGGGGAGGTTAGTTTTGGATTATAGCCTGCAGAATAGTGTAACAGGAAATGGAGTTCTGCATCAAATAAATAACTGTCTCAACCAGTTATTAATTTTTTTAATTTAGACAATCTGGGGTCTGTCGTATTTGTATATATGCTCATAATTTAATCATAAAAAGGGATAAAGAGCTCTAGAATTGAATGCAGAAGCCTAGATATTAAACAGTAGATAACATTCAGGTAAACTGGTGAGTTTAGCATAATTATTTTTTAAAAACTAACTTCTAAAACACCTCTACAATGTTAACTGTGGGGGTTTTTTTCTCCACATAGGTTTCTGACGATGTGCACTAGACACTTCGGGAGTGTTGTAGCTCAAACAATTCGAACTCAGAAGACAGACCAATTTCCACTTTTCCTTATTATTATGGGAAAACGATCATCTAACGAAGTATTGAATGTAATACAAGGTACAGTTCTTGCTTTATGTTAAAAATATTTCTCATGTAAGTGTTGAAACTGTTAGACCTCTTTGCTAACCTTTTCTTTTTTAAGATGTTCAGAATATGAATTTATTGCACAAAAGAAACTTTCAGTTGCCACAATATAAATAGCTACTATTCAGAAATGAATTAATTAACATGATATTAGAGATTGAAGTTGCCATGACTGTAGTAGAATCATAGTTTGGTTTTCATTTTTTTAAAGTAGAAGCTAAATTTCCTAAATAAGGAGCTACACTTAGTTTTCCAAATATATATCCAGATATGTCCCTGATTTCCAAAAGATTTTGGCTGCACTTTTTGTGTAGTGCCAGAATGTATTTAGTTCTTTGCTTGTAGTTCCTTGTTAATATGTGGACTCCTGTTGCATGTAGTGGGCTAATATTTGAACGTGAGTTGCTTTTTCAGACCTGCCTGCAGTGTTGAGATCCCAAATCAGATGAGAATTTAAGTTACTAATATAATCTCACATAAATGAAGCTTTCTGGCTTACATGAGCTTTTTGGCATAACCATTCCTCTGATGTTACTGACAGCAAGATGACTTAGATGTGAAGTGATGCCCTTTGACTGCTGTTCTCAGTAACTCTTCAAATTAAAATACATCAAAGAATGGCTGCCTCTCATTTCTTCTGCTTTCTCCACAAGTTTGTCTTCATGACACTGTGTCCTCATTTATTTATTGCTTATATCTACCAATTTTCATTCTAATCTTCTTATTTTCCTGAGGAAATTCAGCCTCAGGAAATACTGCCTTTTGCAGACAGCATTACTGTTTGTTTCTGCATATGGGATTAATAATTTTCTTGAGGCATATGCAGTGCTCCTTCCTATGGACAAAATTGTTAATTTTGCATGGATTTTGTCTCCTTAGTGCAAGGTACAGCACAACACTAATTCGTGGTACTTCTGTCACTTATAAAACTTATTTCATACAAATAATCTTATAAATAGATTTATTTTTTTTTTAAACTTTGCAGCATAGTTCAGCACCTGTGTTACCCCACTGAAATCAGTGATGCTTACTGGCTTAAATTACTTAACTGTTTTAGCAACTTGGTGACTCAAAGTCACAATACAGTGCAGCTTTATATTACAAAATAATCCAAATTATTTCCTTGCATTCATTAAGTTCTAATGATTTGTCAGGTTTTCTGCAATCTTTTGAACTAAACTAAACTAAAGTGGTCATCTGTTGCAGCCTTACTTAAGTTTATCCTTTAACAAAAATCAAACATGCTTTGCCTGTTATTTTCCCATGAATTGGGACACTGGTGTCTTTTAACAATATGCCCTCCAATGAATGGTAGTCTCTGAAGTCATGCGTGTTGTAGCATGCGGGATAACATTTTCTGCTAAGGTAGCAAATGCTAGAAATGGGAACAATGAGGGCCTTTCAGGGCTGGGTGAGAAGGCATGTTTACAGAAGAGATACAACAATATAGAAACTTAAGTCCCAGTGGCGTTTATTGAAATGCAGACTGTCTAAGTTTGCTTTCGATTTTTATTTTCTCCTGGGGTTGGAAACTATGGGGACAGTTTCTGTTTTCTTTAGTGGTACTGTGGCTTCTGGTTAGTTTACTTCTTTTGAAATTTTAACCAGCATCACCAATATAAATCTAGCTCTTGTTGGTGGTGTTCTGCTAGGGTCCAAAGGCTGTTTAGGCTGGCAGATGTTAAGAGTTCGTAGTTTTCAACCATTTATCATGGTCTAAGACCTTTTAGTTACTGTGACAAGTGCCATTACTGGCTAGCCTAGTCTTCAGTTTAGGAAGAGAAACCAAAGACTGAGTTCATCTTGGTAGGAAAAATGAAACTAATCTTTCAGTCTTACTGAAGACTGGACACACACTGGTAGAAAAATGAGAGGAGGTATCTGTTTTCCTATGCATGTGCTGTATTTCTTCATATATACACAGATGACTTACTTTTCCGGTATTATTAGCTTTACAAGTTTTATCAGAAGTAAATACATTGAAGAGAATATATTATAATATTTGAAATCTTACTGCTAGTTATACCTGAATAAAAATGCATGTGCACACATCCATTCCATCACTGTATTCTGATTTTTTCTGATTTTTTTAAACAAATCCACTTGGATGCTGCTGCCAACATCCTACCTTTTGTTACCTGACTAAGCCGTTGCTCCCTGATTATACCTGGGAATTCTAAAACTATCAAATCAATTTTATGTCACTGAACCCCAGGTATATTACTTTCCCTTAACATCAGTGATTAAAAGAAAAAAGAGAGTTACTCCATACAAGCACAAAAGCAATTGTTCAGATTTGAACCACCTAAAATTTTAGCCTATGATCAACATTTGTTTGTAAAAACAATTTTGAATTTTCAATAAAAAGGCAAACTAAAAGCATTCTGCTGAGATATTTGCATTTTCTACTCTGCCTTTTTTCTTTTTAATTCTGGCTATTTCTTACGGAATAATTCTAAAATTACTTTTTTTTTGTTTAATAACTTTAATGATATGAAGTTCAGCTATCTTCCTTTGTTGCTAGGTAACACAACAGTGGATGAGCTAATGATGAGGCTGATGGCTGCAATGGAAATCTTCAGCGCCCAGCAGCAGGAAGACATAAAGGATGAGGTGAGAATCGAAAGTTACTGCAGATACCTACTGGCTTCCACAAATCGTTGGGGATGCAAAATGTTTCTTTAGCCAATGAAGTTGGGTATGATGTGTTTTAGTGTCTCTTCCACCATCAGAAATTAAAAGCGTTAAGTCTCCTTTGTGTATTTATTTGAGTCTCTCAGAAAAACTCCTTCTTATTGGTCTTGTCATTTTCAGTTTGTTTCCTTTTTCTGAATATTAGTCATGAGTAACCGTTTATATTTACTGTGGTGTTACAGAGCTTAATATCCTCATACAAGGAAACGACAATCAGATTTTTTCCCAATGACCAGCTCCAAGTCATAGGTAGAAAACAAAAATAGATTGATATATTTTAAATATATAGCATTAAAAGGGGATTGAAAAGCAATCTTAACAAGAACTACGGCAGTAGTGAATCACCATTCAGAACAATGCAGAATGGAAAAGTGATGACAAGACTTTTCAAAAACAGTGTTTCAATTACACAGAAGTAGACACAGTGAGGTATACAGTTGAAAGATGTTTATCTGTTACTCCATAAATTGAGAGTGACATTTTGAAGGAATGAAGTACTTAGGAATTTATAATAATAGGTGTGTTGCCATTCAAGATTATTCTTATCCTGTTGTATGGACATTGACTGACAATAATTCACTAAACACATTCCTCATATTTAAATCTTGTCTCTCATTAGTATGAGATTTACCGATTATGGTTATAATAATATGAAGGTATGGTATCTGCACAATAATATCTGCAGTTCATTTTTTCTTCTTTATTTATGCTACCTGTAATTCATTGGTAAAGAAATTTACTTTAGTTTTGTTAATACTGAACACAAATTTTAATATGAGGATTACAACAAAAATCCAAGGCACAAGATAATTGAACTTTTTTATTGCATTTTAACAGGAATATGTTGGATATGGGGGTTTTTTGATGCTTTAATAAGAAGATAACATTCACATCATAGATGAGTTCCAAGAAAGCTTCAGAACTGAAAACTATTAAAGCTGATAGAAAAGAAGAAAACAGAAAGAAGGAAAAGCATATAAAGGCAGAGAGATAAGAGTAAATAAGGGCAGGAGAAGGAACTAAAAGAAGGAGTGATAGAATTGGAACAGGGGGAGGAACAGGAGACCAGAACAGTTGTCAGAGCAGAGGACATCAGTATTTAGGAGAGAAGAACGTGCGGGCAAGGGAGATAGTGATTGACCTACCATAAGAGGATAAAACCGAGTGGGTTTGCAACTGAGAAATATCTGGGTGTAAGGGAAACAAAGCTTAAAGAAAGAGAAGAATCAGTAGCCTTGAGGCCATGATCGCAGAACTGGGGACTGGCTTCTGCATCCTGAGCTGCTGTCAGTCTTTCACTGGATGGCCAAGAACAGTGACAGTCCGGTACCGTACGTCCCCACCATGGTGATACGGATGTCTCCTGACTTCTTACTCCAAGTGCTCTACCTATGTAGGGAGAATGGAAAATTAATTTTTATACATTCCTCCCAAATCTACCTTTGTCCAAGTCTTCTGTAGTCCTTTCTCGCATTGCCTTTTTTTTTTTTTCCTGTCACTGAGAGCACCAGTGACATTTCTTCTCCAACAGGAGTTTTTTCTAGCACTCTTTGATATTCAGAAAACTAATGGAAAATTTCATAAACTTTGGGGGCAGATTTCCAGATTTCTATGGGTTCTATACACAAATAGGATATACCTTGGCTCCACTTGTTACAAGCCCACTGAGAAGGTGAGCTCAAACACTTTCAACTTTGAAGCAGGAAGTTTAAAAACAAAAAATAACCTCGCTTTATGAAATTACTATTCCAGAGAGGGAGTATTTGACAAGCAGTCTGTACTCAATAGAGGGCTTGGGCCTGAAAAAAAAAATTGCCTTTTTGTGGTTTGCTACGTAACATGTAGCTTTCTTGTAAGTCTTGTACTTGACAACTTCAAGTGTTCAAACATCAACACCTTTTCTTTTTTAAGATCTTATTGCAGTTGGTGCAATTTTTTTCCCAAATATTACAATAGCAAACAGGATACAGAGTCCGGTTTCTGTTACTGTTTTCTTAATAGCAACAATAAGTCATCACAAAACCACAAGAAGATAAGCAGAAAATTCTTTTGTGTTTTAAAAAAAGAAGTCATCTATATAGCTTGGCTGTAAACAGAAGTGTGTGTGAGAGAGAAATGGAACTGGAAACACTTGTAAATAACAGCATGAAGTCATTAATGAGTCAGTTCATGCAGCTGAACTTCACTTTGGATTTTTAACTTGCATGCACATGAAAGCTTCCAACACAGCTCTTGCATAATTCTGTTTAGCACAGCATGTTTTGCAGTGCCCTCTGATGGTTATTTCAGTACAGGATGACTATTACCACTGCCAGCTAATGGTACAGGTGTTTGCCGTGACGTTGGCTGTAGCTGTTGAGGCATCGCTTTACAGTCAGCTCCCTGCCACTGGTTATCGACTGATGGCCTACGCAGGATGCTCAGAACAGCATCACTGATTGCTCTCACCTCAGCAAAGTGAGTCGTGTCATTAGCTGGTGGTAATAGCATGGTTAGCTAAATCCTATGCTTTTGTATCTATGTATTAATAAAATTTACTGGTGTAGCCTCATAAAATTTTAGTCAGGCAAATTTGGGGCATATTTGTGTAATGTCAAGTCCTAAAATACTGTCATTTAACCAGCAATTGGATTTAATTTTTAGATTTGTATATTATGTTTGATTAAGCTTTTTCTTACATAATCTCCAAAGAAATACCTTAAAGACATTCAGATGCACATGTGTACTCATAATAATCCAACGTACCTGTCTTGAGGTACGGTCATGCGTAATTTAGGCACCCATTTTCTCTCCCAAGCTTTCTTAAAGGGAGATCAATCTGGCCTCCCATTCTTTTCCCTGCCCCTCCAAAGCTTCTGGGTCAATCATGAACCATTGAGCCTCTTGCTTGCTGCCTGTCAGCTGTGTTGGCCAGATGACATTTTGGAAACCCCCTGCCTCTTTTGGATCACACTGTTGACATGCCATGGTAGATATGTGGTCTAGCTGTCGTGCTGTCTGCTTTTATAAGTTTGCTACTTCAATTGCCATAGTAACAAGTCACAAATAATAAAATATGATCAGCAGTTACTGACATTGTGCTCACATGGCACTTCTGATAAGAAGTGACCAATGGATGATTAAATGGTGGGTTCAGTGGCATCAACAGCAGGAAGGCCAGTTGGCCAGGACATGCTCCCACCCATGACAGTGCAGTCAGGTCTAGGGTCTGAAGACCAACCTCAGGCTGTGTACGCAGAATTTACCCCTGAGGCTACATTAATGATTTCATACATCTGATGGACATATTTTCCTTTTCTAACCATCTTTGCTCCTCTGGCCTCTACTACAGATGTTGCTATCTCAACTACTGTTCCGACAGTGAGGCTGTGGATATTTTGCAAAGAGGAAATAAGTGCCACTGAGGAGTTTCTCCTGTAAGCAAAGAGGGTGTCTCAGAGCAGGGACAACCGGCCTCGGCCACTGGTGATCAAGGTGTGGACTGAGATTTTTCAGGGACTGACTTTGAAAAGAGCACGCAGTATCAGTTCCTCTTAAGTGTCAGTGCCTGATGCTGGACCTAGGAAAACAAATAATAATTGTAAAATATTGAAGGCCCTGGAATGTCTGTTTATAAATACCCTGTTAGCTGGCTTACTTTAATTGGATAGTTAAATAATCATCTCAGCATGGCATGATGGGCCCAAATAGATCTGACTTAGTTCCTTTGTGAGATTAATGTGAAGAGATACGTGATTAAATCCTGGCATTACAGCACAACACACCTGTTCTGGGCTGATCCTGAACATTTTTTCTCCATTGCCTGAGGAGGAGGCTTCTCAAAGGATTACAGTAACACTTTTTGACAAGCTTATACAGGGTGGAGTTTCCATGTAATGACAGGGCTTATTTGATGATGTCTCAGTAAAGCATTCTTTTTATTTTTGCTGTCAACGTTTATTACTGTAGAAGCATTGACTGTTACACAGCTGGTCCAACTTGTCCACATTTAAGTAACAGTAGGTCTCTCATCGTGTTTATTTTTGCCGTTACGCAACACTAGCACTCCTGCTCTCGGATTAGACTTCAAGGTGGAATTGTAATAACCACAGTTGCTTCAAAAACCTTCTTATTTTTACAAATACCAATTAAAACTTTCAATTCACTTTAAACTAGGTCTGTTGACACACTATTTTCTTTAGTGTAAAAGAGAGATACTTCAGAAACTGTTGTAAACAGATTCTGACTAAAAAACTGTAGAAAAATGTAGACCTGCGGAGTCACCATCTTTGCTGTCTGATCTTAGGTGACATATCTTCTTCCTAGACGCTGTTACAGTGTAAGGAAAATGTAGGTCCTTCCTGATCAATATCTGGATGGGGATTTAAAAAATATGTAAAAGAAGACAAAAGCTCCAAAACAGCAACATAAATTCACCTTCTTTTGCCTGCCACAGCTCTTTGTAAAACCATGCTTGCGTGTCCATCTCAGCACTTGCTTGTGTTAGATGGGGCTTTACTGACCAAGTGTTATTGTCATAACTTTGCAGTAAGAAGCCTGGTATCACCATGTCTTCCTCCTCTTCTACCTCACTGCTGTCAAATGTAAGGGATTTCCCTCTTTTTTTTTTTTTTAATATATATGAGAATTTAACAGTTTTAGCTTCCAACACCTCTTCTCTTTCTTCTTCCAAAGATATATCTCACAGTCACAAAGGAAGCTAAAGAGGATCGGTCCTAGTGCATTTTCTCCTAATCTGTGGTCTGTTCGTCTTTTCCTCCTTCTGATCAGTTGTTTTTCTCCACTCCTTACCTGCAGTTCTGTTCTCCAGTTAGACGATGGCCTAAGTGCTTCCATCAGCTGTGCAGAAGACCCCTGCAATTTCTGTTTAGGCACTGAAGCTCACATTAAAATCAGTAGAAATTAGGCATCCGAGTACC